ACCTGTCACCAGAGTACTGCCTCCAGCAAGGGGCGAGCTGTCGAGCACCTCACTGGCCTCCACCGCACTGCTGCCCCAGGGACGCTGATAGGATTGAGGAGCCGCATGGGCGTCCGCCTGCCGGCCTCCAGGAGGGGGAAAGGACGACAAGCTGAGGCAGACGACCGCGCGTTCACTCTCGAGCTCTCCCTGAAGACTGATACAGCTAACGGCCGCACTATTATGTGCACACTCCTGAGTCTCTGTTATGTGAGGGACGCATCCGAGCGCGGCGTGGGCGCGCCCTCAGCATCGCCCCAAACTGTCGCCAGGGCACTGTCTCCAGGAGGGGGCGCGCTGTCGAGCGCCGCTCCGGCCTCCACCGCATTGCTGCCCCGGGGACGCCGATAGGAGTGAGGAGCCGCATACGGGCGCCCGCCTGCCGGTCACCAGGAGGGGGAGGGGACGACGAGCTGCGGCAGACGACCACCTGTTCACTCTCGAGCACCCCTTGGAGACTGTTGCAGCTAACGGCCGCACTATCCGATACACACTCCTGAGGCTCAATTTTGTGAGGAACGTCTCCAAGCGCGGTCGCGCCCTCTGCAGCGCTCCCGACTGTCGCCAAGGTCCTGTGTCCAGGAGGGGGTGCGCTGTCGAGCACCTTTCCGGCCTCCACCGCACTGCTGCCCCAGGGACGCCGATGGGAGCGAGGGGCCGAATGGGCGTCCACCTGCCGGCCTCCGGGAAGGGGAGGGCCTCCCCGGGGAGGGGACGACAAGCTGTCAGACGACCACGTGCTCAGTTCCGAGCTCTCGCTGAAGACCGTTGCAGCTAACGGCCGCACGGCAGACGACCACGCGCACACTCTCGAGCACTCCCTGAAGGCTGTTGCAGCTAACGGCCGCACTTCCCGGAACACGCACCTGAGTCTCTATTTGGCGAAGGGCGTCTCCAAGCGCGGGCGCGCCCTCTGCTGCGCTCCCAACTGTCGCCAGGGTCCTGTCTCCAGAAGGGGGCGTGCTGTCGGGCGCCTCTCCGGCCCCCACCGCACTGCTGCCCCAGGGACGCTGATAGGAGTGAGGAGCCGTCTGAGTGCCCGCCTGCCGGTCTCCAGGAGGGGGAGGGGACGACCAGCCGCGGCAGACGATCACGTGTTCCTCTCCCTGAAGACTGATGCAGCTGACAGCCGCACTTCCCGGCACACACTCCTGAGGCTCCAGATTGTGAGGATCGTCTCCACGCGCGGGCGCGCCCTCTGCAGCGCTCCCGACTGTCGCCAAGGTCCTGTGTCCAGGAGGGGGTGCGCTGTCGAGCGCCTTTCCGGCCTCCACCGCACTGCTGCCCCAGGGACGCCGATGGGAGCGAGGGGCCGTATGGGTGTCCGCCTGATCTGTCGCACTGCCAGTTCTGTCCGCTGAAAGGAGGGGGGGGCCGGGGCGGCTACCCCACTTGCCGTCACTACCGTCCCGTCCGCCACTGTCGCCAGGGGGGGGCCGCTGGGCAGTCGGGCGGCTGGACAACGGCCGGGTTCAGCCCGGGAGGCCTACCCCAAATGCCGTCACTGCCGTCCCGTCCGCCACTGCCGCGGCAGCCGCTGGGCAATTGGGCGGCTGGACAGCTGCCGGGGCCAGCCCGGGAGGCCCATCCATCGCCGGCGGAGCGCGCGAACCTGAATAGGGGCGTGCCGTGCTCGAGCCGAGACGGCTTGAGCCAGAGGGGCTACGGGTTGATGGGGATACTTTTTGGTCTGCGGGCTCGCGAAGCAGTTCCAAAGCCGTCCGAACACTAGCCGGGCCGCGACTAGGCAGCAAGAAAAGAGAGAACAAAGGATTCGAGCCCCAGGAAGGGGCCGACGAAGCCCGTGGGGGCGAAGCCTATGCGAAGCCTACATAGGGCCAACAGCACTTCCAAGACACATATCCCAATACGGACAAGCGCCTCCTGAGGCCTCTTGGGGCCTCCTGGGGGCGGGGGGGGCCGAAAAGCGCTCCCCGAACACACTTCCAAAACACAGATCCCAATACAGACAAGCGCCTCCTGGGGCCTCTTGGGGCCTCCTGGGGCCTGCTGGGAGCGGGGGGGGAGGGGGGGAGGGGGGAGGGGGAGGGGGGGGGAGGGGGGGAAAGGGGGGGGGGGGGGGGGGGGGGGGGGGGGGGGGGGGGGGGTGGGGGGGGGGGGGAAAAGCGCTCCCCGAACACATGCTCATCCCAAAACAGAAAACCGGCTCCTTGGGCCTCTGGAGCCTCCTGGAAGCGGGAGGGCCAAAAAACGCTCCACGAACACATATCCCAATACAGGAAATACATTCTGGGACCTCCCGGGAGCGGAGGGGCCGAAAAGCGCTCCCCGAAAACATGTTTTGATTCGCGGGTCGAGAGCGCACCTCTTCAGGTCGAAGTCGCTCCCCGAAAACATATCCCAGTACAGAAAATGCCTCCTGGGGCCTCCTGGGGCCTCCTGGGGCCTCCTGGGGGCGGGAGGCTCGAAAAACGCTCCCCGAACAGATATTCCTAGAGCGTCCTGGGGCCTCCTGGAGCCTCCGCAAGTAACGGCAAGACTGCTCTGACGGATTCCTCTGTGCTGCTATATTGCGAAGAAATATCATACGAACTGGCCGTTCTGGCATCCGCCAGTAGCAAGAAGAATGCTCTGAAGGACCCCCTTTGTGGTGACGAAATGCGAAAGCTTGAGTAGCAGCACCCTGGTTATGAGGGACCCCCTGGTAAAGCCAAATTGCAAAGAAGTCTCAAGCGAAACGACCGTCCTGACACCCGCAAGCAGCAGCACGACTGCTCTGAAGGACCCCTTCGCGGTGCTGAATTGCGTGGAAGTCTCAGGCGACAGCGCCCTTTCTGAGGCTCGGACTAAACTGGCAGGACATACCCCGTGGGAGCATTGTTCTTGTTGTTGGGGGACGGGTTTGAGCAGTACCCCGAAACGCTTGAGCGTGAGCCTCAATTCCAAAGGAAATGCAGCCAGCGCCGAGGCGCGAGCGCCAAGCGCCTATGGGGGGTTCCAACAAAATACTGGTTGTTTGTTGAATAACATTCGATCATGTGAAAACTGTTCGGGCTCACGTGCTCGGGTGTCATTTAAGATGTATATCCCAAGCCCTCGATATCCGTCCTCTGTGCCTTCGATCGTAACCCCCTTGGGGGTATGGATTCCTTACCTGCGACGTGTAGTTGGCGCAGCCCCTAAAATAGGGGAAGGGAGGGAGGCGGGAAGAGACGAGGGGGGAGGGAGAAGAATGAAGCACGAGAGAGAAATTTGCAGGAGGGGGTTAGGAGCAGGAGCACAAGCGGCACAACCAGACCACGGGCGGGTCGGGCGGGCGGGCCCAGACGGCGCGGGCGGGAGCGCCAATCCAACATGAATCGCAAGGAAATCTCGCACGATAGCGCGATTCCCCAAAGAAACCTGAGAAGTCCAAAGCGAGAGCGTGATTCGAGCGTCGAAGGCGCAGCGTCTCCATAAATTGCGAGGACGTACCACGCGAGAGCGCGATTACAGGATAAAGTGTGAGGAAATCCCGCTCGAGAGCACGATTCCTCGTAGAGTGCGAGGAAAGATCAAGCGGCAGCAATTGTTGTAGCAAACCAGTGGCCCACAACACAGTCTGAGGCGCGAGACTTTCCCTTATGAAGAGACAGGTGCGAGCCCCAGGAGGAGCACTTTGACTGAAGAACAACGTTGACACCAGGCAGGGGCTACTTAAAAGAAATCTGTTCTTTAGAAGTGAGAACGCAACGCAACAACGCAACAACAATCCGCACCGCGGAACCCCACTTCAGCCGCGCGCCCAGGGACAGCGAATGACCGTTCGGCCCCCTAACTTTAGGTCGGGCATGTCCCCCTACAGGCAGCCTTTGGACGAAAAATTAAAAATAATCAGAAAAATACGCCATAATTATCGAAAATGGTGATAGAAACCCAAAACTATCGTTCCCAGACTGTTTGTTCGATTAGTTTTGAATATTCCTCCTGTTGAGGGACAGGCCCGACTTAACCCTAACTCTGACTACAGGACTCCTGAGGGCGCACGTCGCCCCGTGGGGGGTCGAAGCACACACGTAGCGTGAGCGTGTTTTTGGTGATGCCGACATCATGCCCTCGGCGGAGGTGCAATCCATGTGCGCCCCGTGGCGAGAAACCCCCTGGAGAAACCAGAGTTGACAAAAACAATATACATATATACATATATATAATATATACATATATATATAAAACAAATATAATATATATATATATACAAAAAAGCTCGGCGACGCAAGAGGCGGGGCACCGCTCCGCCGTGCAGCTGACGCTCTGACACGATCCGTGGCTGCACTCCGAGGACGCGCCGAGAGCGACCGGTGCGTTCCGCGTGCCTGGCATGTCAAGTGCCAGGTGCCCAGTGCATCCACCTGGTGTACATGGCGCGCCGAGCATCCAGAGAACGTCAAATTTGCACACGTGTCCACCCACAGGACCGCTACGTCTGGCGCCCTGTGACGCATTGCAAACCAGGCGAGTGTTTCCAGCGTGGGGGACGCCAAGATTCGCGGCCCAGGTGCTCAAAGCCCCTGGACGGCCAAGCCTACCTGCTGAGTACGACCGATGTGTTCAGCGTCGCCGACTAAATTGACAGTTGCATGTGTTGTGGCTACTAAATGCACTGGTCATCAGCACGTCTAATGCGTCGCATGTGATTGCTGCGACGTAGGGCGCTTGGGGTACGTCAAGGACGCGCCATGCATACGCTTCGCTGGGCTTCTTGAAGCCAGACGAAGGCGAGGCATACTGGGGGCAAGACGATTGTGGCCCGTTCGCAGCCATACTGCACACAAAAAAACACGTGCCACGAGACCTGACGACTAGAAGAAAAGTGCACACAATAGCAAATGAGAGGAGAATGGAGGAAGCCGTACGTGAGGCGAACAGCAAAAACAACAGTAGCAGCGGCAATAGCAGCACTACCAGAAATTGTGCGCTGATCGGTGCTATATAAGAATATGCGCGGCCACACAACGACAGACGGTCCTGAGGAAGCCAGCTGGTTGCGGAAATCGTATGGGGAAACCGCTCGTCCGCAGTGAGGACTCCCCTGCTAGATGGGCAACCCACATGTGCATCATTCAGCAGCACTTTTCCCTTGCGGGCCGTTGGACGCCATCCAGCCGAAGAGCACTATCGCTCGAGGTGGTATGCGAACTCGCACCCGTGCAAGAGTGGACGCTGAGGACGGAAGGAGGAAGCCATCAACTGCTCTGGTCTGAAGTAAGCAAGCAGAGAGAGTGAGGGAGGGAGGGAGGGAGAGAGGGGGGGGGGGCGAGACAGAGAGAGAGAGAGAGAGTCGTCTATAAGCACATGGAAGGTCATAATCGATCCCAGCGCCTACACCCTCGGCGCATTCCGCACCTCTACAGACGAGGAGGAAGCGACGTAACAATAGGAGGAGGATTGCCAAGCTCAGCATATCCCTCAAGGGTGCGTACTTAAACTCATCTTTAGAGACGAGGCGACCACCGAAGTACTGCTGACAGCGACAGCTTTCAATGAGAAAGAAACATCATCAACAGGAGGAGAGATGGAGAAGGTGCAAGGGGAGAAGACAGAGAAGAAGTAGGAGGAACAGCAGCAGGAGAAGGTCAAGCGATCATGGGGGTCGAGCGCACATCATAGGAATATAAATGCAAATATCGGCCTCGGACCTCTGCTGGGTACATTCCAGACAGGACTTCGAAGGAATCAGCCGTGGCGACAACGGCACACCAGGAGGCCCATGAAAGGCCAAAGACCTCGAAATCTGCACTCACGGAGTAGGACGCGGAGCAGGCGGGACCCCTCCTCCTCATCCGCCCCACCCCGGCCCCTCTCGACACCTCCTCCATCTCGACCCGAGCAGCTCTTGGCAGTGGGGCCAGTGGGAGGGCGAAAGCCACGCGGCAATCAGTCGGCTCTCGCGCGGCCACCTGGCTTGCTGCCCAGCGATGTGCGGGCGACGGTGGGCAAGGAGAAGGGGCAAGACGAGATAGAGAATAATTCCGAGTTCAAGAAGTGCCGACCATCAGCTTACAAAAACAGAATGCACACAACTTCCCAAATATGGCTGAAGAAGTGCGGGATCAGTCGACTAGGAGCAGCGGCGAATGTACGGCACAGAGCGGGAAATGGTGGAGCGCAAAACCCACATGAGAACAGGAAGCACAGAACCGAGTCTCCACACACGCGCGTGGCATGCACACAGCAAAGTGTTGGATAATCATGGGCGGTTTCGAGAGCGTTTTGCCTTCCAGCCCTGCGGGGAATGTCCGTCGGGCCAGAGCAACGCCCACGGCAGTGCTGACTGCTCGTTGGAGGCCCGGACTGCCCTTCACCAATCAGGAGAAGGAGGAGGACGACGACGACGCGAGAGGGCGAGGGTTGAAAGCGGAGGGAGAGATTGATGTTCGTGTTCCGGTGCTGCACCTCCTGGGGCATCGTCACCACGGCTGGAATCGCCTCGATATCACGGTCAGAAGGCACTCTAGGACAAGTCCGTGGGTCAACTCTGCGGTGGCAGGAGAATCAGGAGGATGAGGTGGACGAGGGCACCTCGCCACAGCCAACTTCCGTTACAAACGTTTTGTGGTGATCTTTGCCCGCACGTTCGAGATTCTTATCAGCACGTGCTTTCACGACTCAGTTGAGACATGGAGGGAGGAGGGCAGTCGAAGGCATGGTACGCCCTTCTCCTCCGCGCCCGCCTCCTCCTTTGCGTCGAGAAACCGAGAGACGCATCTGGAGGCCGACGAGCGGACAATGAGAGTCCGGAAGCTTCAATTTCCAGACAGCCCGCCTGCCACCTCCCCCTCCTCCTCCTCGTCCTCCTCATCATCTTCAACATCATCATCATCATCACCACCACCACCACCATCATCATCATCATCATCATCATCATCATCATCATCATCATCATCATCATCCTACTCCTCCTCTTCCTCCTCCTCCTCGTCCTCCTCCTCCTCCAGTCCTTCTCCTTATAGATAAATTCTCCCCGTCGCACCCCGAGGCCAGTTTTTAGGGCGGGCCGGGCGTTTCGCCTGAGACATCCGAATCCCCTTATGACTTTCGAAGCTTAAAAAGTGACAACAGCTTCACAGACGGAGGGCGGGTCGCTTTCAAAATGTGGCTCTCGCCTCAGCGCCGCGCACATTCGTTTTTAAGATGTGCAAGAGCTTCACGGATTGAGGGCGGGTCAGAATGTGGCTGTCGCCTTAGCGCCGCGCACATTCGCTTTCAAGAATTGCAAAGGGTTTCGCGTATTGCAAGGCGGCTCCTTTTCAAAATGTGGCTCTCGCCTTAGCGCCGCGCACATTCGTTTTCAAATTTTGCAAGAATTTCACGGATTGAGGGCGGGTCGTTTTCAAAATGTGGCTCTCGCCTTCGCGTCGCGCACATTCGTTTTCAAAACTTGCATGAGTTTCACGGACTGAGGGCGACTTCTTTTCAAAATGAGGCTCTCGCCTTAGCGCCGCGCACATTCGCTTTCAAAGTTCGAAAAAGCTTCACGGATTGAGAGCGGTTCCTCTTCACTCTCGTCTTCGCGCCGCGCACATTCGTTTTAAAAATTGCAAAGAGTTTCACGGATTCGCATGATCAACGTACCAGAAATGGTGTTCTGGAAGGATTCAAGATTATGCGGGCGCAACAGTTATGTTGATTCGCTGTGTTAAAGTCGCAAAAATGGCGTTCTGGCACGACTCTGGATCGTCAAGACGCAGCAGTCAAATTGATGCGTGGCGTTGAAATCCCGAAAACAATGCTCCGGCACGCTTCAGGATCTTAAAACGGTTGTCTTCCAACGAGGCAGGTCCCTGTGGAAATGAACCGTTGTAGGGGCCTATGAAGAGGGAGCTTGGGGGGAGGGTAAATTCCAACATCGTTGATGACTCTTGGGTCTCCACGGGTCCTCCTCCTCCTCCTCCTCCTCCTTCTCCTGCTCCTCCTCCTCCTCCTCCTCCTCTTCTTCCTCCTCCTCCTCCTCCTCATCTTCCTCCTCCTCCTCCTCCTCATCCTCCTCCTCCTCCTCGCCCTTCTGATCCTCTTCCTTCTCCTCCTCCTCCTCCTCCTCCTCCTCCTCCTCCTCCTCCCTCTTCCCCCCCTACTCCTCCTCCTCCTCCTCCACCTCCTCTCCTCCTCCTCCTCCTCCTCCTCCTCCTCCTCCTCCTCCTCATCTCATCCTCATCCTCATCCTCATCCTCATCCTCCATTTCTTTCCCGCCCCCCCACTCACCCTCCCACATTTTCTCCTGTTCCTCCTCCTCCTCCTCCTCCCACTCCCTCCCCCGCCTCCTCCACCTCCTTTTCCTCTTCCTCCTCCTACTCCTCCTCCTCCTTCTCCTCCTCCTCCTCTTCCTCCTCCTCATCATTATCGGCATCATCACCATCATCATCATCATCATCATCATCATCATCATCATCATCATCATCATCATCATCATCATCATCATCATCATCATCATCATCATCATCATCATCATCACATCACCACCACATCATGATCATCATCATCATCATCACATCATCATCATCATCTCATCATCATCATCACATCATCATCACATCATCATCATCATCATCATCATCATCATCAGCATCATCATCATCATCATCTGCCTCCTCCTCCTCCTCCTCCTCATCCTCCTCCTCCTCTTCCTCCTCCTCATCCTCCTCATCTCTCATCATCATCATAATCGCATCATCACCATCATCATCATCATCATCATCATCAGATTATCATCATCATCATCATCATCATCATCATCATCATCATCATCATCATCATCATCATATCATCATCATCATCATCATCATCATCATCATCATCATCATCATCGTCGTCATCATCATCATCATCATCATCATCATCATCATCATCATCATCATCATCATCATCATCATCATCATCATCATCATCATCATCATCATCATCATCATCATCATCATCATCATCATCATCATCATCATCATCATCATCATCATCATCATCATCATCATCATCATCATCATCATCGTCATCATCATCATCTGCCTTCTCCTCCTCGTCCTCCTCCTCCTCCTCCTCGTCCTCCTCCTCCTCTTCCTCCTCCTCTTCCTCCTCCTCCATTCCTTCTCCTACTCAATAACTTCTCCCTGTCGCACCCCGAGGCCAGTCTTCAGGGCGGGCCGGGCGTTTCGCCTGAGACTTCCTCACCACTTATGACCCTGAAACTTAACAATTGGCAACAGCTTCACAGATGGAGGGCGGGTGGTTTTCACAATGTCGCTCTTGCCTTAGCGCTGCGTACATTCTTTTTCACAAATTGCAAGAGCTTCACGGATTGAGGGAAGGTGGTTTTCGAAATGTGGCTCTCGCCCCAGCGCCGCGCACATTCGTTTTTCAAAAATTGCAAGAGCTTCACGTATTGAGGGCGGGTGGTTTTCGAAATGTGGTTCTCCGTGGCGTTGGAATACCGAGAATAATGTTTTGGCATGCTTCATGGTCTTCAAATGGTTGTCTTCCAACGAGGCAGGTCCCTGTGGAAATGAACCGTTGTAGAGGCCTTTGAAGAGGAAGCTGGGGGGAATGTTTATTCCAACATCGTGAGCGACCCTTGAGTTTACACTGGTCCTCCTCCTCCTCATCGTCCTCCTCTTCCTCCTCCTCCTCCGCCTCCTCCTCCTCCTCCCCCTCCTCCTCATCCTCTTCCTCCTCTTCCTCCTCCTCATCCTCATCCTCATCCTCATCCTCATCTTCCATTTCTTTCCCGCCCCCCACTCACCCTCCCACATTTTCTCCTGTTCCTCCTCCTCCTCCTCCTCCCCCTCCTCCTCCTCCTTCTCCTCATCCCCCTCCTCCTCCTCCTCCTCCTCCTCCTCCTCCTCCTCCTCCTCCTCCTCTTCATCCTCCTCCGCCTCTTCGTCGTCCTCCTCCTCCTCCTCCTCCTCCTCCTCCTCCTCCTCCTCCCCCTCCCAACCCCCCTCCCCCCCTCACCCTCCCACATCTCCTCCTCTTTTTCCTCCCCCTCCTCCTCCTCCTCCTCCTCCTCCTCCTCCCCTCC